CCCGTGGTCTTGTCCCTGCGGAGTCTGAGACCTGGTCCTGGGAGGAAGGGGTACTCCTCCCCACCTGCGCCTGAGGGCGGCACCGCCTGGTCTAGGGGTGCGAGGGGTTTGAGGGGTGTGAGTGACACTGTCCTCTGGTCTGGCTTTTTGTGGGGGGAAGCAAACCTCACCTGAGAAGCAGAAGTTCTGAAATGAAGTCAGAGGAACAAGAGCACAGGCAGCTGAGGACTGGAAGTCGCACCACGGGTGCGAGCTGCTTGGACCCTGAAGAGTGATGGCTTCACTTTGTTTCTGTGTTTTTTCGGGTAGAAGCTTCATTGAGATGAAACTCATAGCAGACAGCTCACCATGTAAGGTGCGCAGCTCAGGCTCGTTCACAGAGCTGTGCGGCCATCACCACGGTCGATTTCAGAACAGCCCGTCGTCCCTGAGGAAGCCCTGTCCCCTCGGCTGGTGCCTGCGGCTCCCCTCCCCGCGGCCCCGCAGCCTCTGGTGTGCGTCCTGTCTCCTGTTTGCCGCTTCTGGACACGTGTAAACGGAGTCGCACAGTGAGCGGCCTTCCGCTTGGCGGGAGGGTTTGAGGCTTGGCCGTGCCGCGGCGAGCGTCAGGCTTCCGTCCTTTTCACGAACGGGTAATACTCCATTGTGTAGACAGAGCAGGTTTCATTTCTTTGTCCATCACCTGGTGGGCAATTTGAATTGTTTCTGCTGATTGGCTGTTAAGAATAGAGCTCTTGGGAGCATCTCTGAACAGGATTCTGTGAAGGCGTGTTTTCATGTCTTGGATGCAAACCTAGGAGTCGAGTCGCTGGGTCACAGGGTGACCTCGTTCAGCCGCTGAGGAGCTGCTGCGTGTTTTCCTAAGTGTCTGCACCATTTACGTCCCCAGCGGCCGCGTGCCCGGGCTCTGCCTGTCCCCCTCCTGCCAGCACTAGCTGTCTCCTGTCCCCTCCTCCTGGCCATCCTCGCGGGAGTCCGGGGAGGTCTCACTGTGGTTTTGCTGTGCACTTTCCTACCGACTAGTAATGTGGAGCACTTCCCATGTGCTTGTGGGCCATCTGTACATCGTGGGAGGCATGTCTGCTTAGCTCGTCTGCCCACCTGGAAGCTGGGTCTTTAATTACGGAGTTGCAGGTGTTCTCTCTGTGTTCTGGATACTAGATTGTGACCAGATAGGAGATCTGCAAACACGTTCTCCCATTCTGTGGGTTGTCTTCACATTTTTGATAACATCCTTGGAAACACAGCGTGTTTTTAATTCTGAAGAAGTCTCGTTTATCACTTTTCCTTTTGTTGCTTGTGCTTTTGGTGTCACATCTAAGATACCATTACCTAATCCAAGGTCATGGAGATGTAGGCTTTCTTTTCGGAGTTTTATAGCTCAGCTGTCACACTTAGGTCTTTGATCCATTTTGAGTTACTTTTTGTATACGGTGCCAGGTTGGCAGCTCCGCTTCATTGTGTTGCGTGTGGATGTCCAGTTGTTCCAATGCCGTCTGAAAAGACAGTTGCTTCCCCCATTGAATCCTTGGCACCTTTGTCGGATACCAGCCATCCATCCACATGTCTATCCTTATTGCAGCTTTTAGGTTTTGGGGGGTGGTTTTAGGGGTTTTTTTCATGGAGGGACTGGGGATTGAACCCAGGAGCTCGTGCACGCTGAGCACGTGCCCTGCCCTGAGCTGCACCCTCCCCTCCCCACTTCCTGCAGCTCTGCAGTAAGTTCTGACATCAGGAAGTGTGACTCCGCCCACTTCGTTCTTTTGGGGGTTGTATTAGCTGTTCTGGGTCCCTTGAATTTCCACATGAATTTCAGGATCAGCTCGTTAGTTTCTGAAAAGAAGCCGGGTGAGCTTGCGATGGAGCCGTGCCGGCTCCGCGGGTCAGCCCCGGGATGCTGTCGCCCGGAGACGCTGAGTCTCCCGAGCCGCGAAGACAGGGTCT